ACGAAAGTTCTGAAACAATTTAAGTAGATAATTAAACAATTATTATTATTTTTTATTGGAACAAGAGAAAAACTGCCTGGAAATATAAAACAATGCTTAAATGAAAGAAAAAAACATGTATAAAAGAAATAGTTACCTTTTTCAAGGAAATTAACCCTTTAACCTATAGCAACGTGATTCTGGTCAAGATGTGAGAGAAATAGTTATTAGTAAGAAGAATTAATTATAATCCTACAGTCCGTTCAATTTAAGAGTAACCTCGTTTCGCGTATGGGACCTGCTTAAAGCAGAGCTAGAACGTCCAAGCCCCCACTTAACCGCCTACGTTTTTCTTCGTCTTACCCTCTGCTATGCTCTCCGTCTACTGTTCCAGGCGCTATTTACTCCTTTTCTCTCTCTCTTTTTTTTTTGTACCTAATGAAATTAGGTACTTTACATGGGACCTGCCTAAAGCAGAGCTAGAACGTCCAAGCCCCCACTTAACCGCCTACGTTTTTCTTCGTCTTACCCTCTGCTATGCTCTCCGTCTACTGTTCCAGGCGCTATTTACTCCTTTTCTCTCTCTCTTTTTTTTTTGTACCTAATGAAATTAGGTACTTTACAATATGTCTTTTAAGAATTTAAATGATTTCGAATCGTTCCCTAAATATTGATATTTTCATTTTGTCCGGCTAAATTCATACAACTAGCCACTGTTCGTCTGTCATAAACCGCTGCGTTAACATGCACACAGTAGGTACGCACACTTTTAGACCACCCGGTACATTATTTACATTCCATGCACTGTTTACGTTGACGTCGCTCTTGGGCCTAGCCAAAATGGCGCTATGACCAATCGCACGCGTCACATCGGTAGGTAGTAGTGGGATCTACGCAGAACGGACGAAAATCGGTCCGAGAGTGAGGTTACTCTTAAATTGAACGGACTTTAACTTTCGTTGGAATTTGTAAAACTGAGGATTACTAAATATAATTGCTCTGTAACACATTAGTTTTTGTTACCTGAAACAGTACTGAAACAGTAAATAGTTGACGCTTAGATGCATAATCAGAACAAAATCATAGGTTAAGAGGTTAATAACAACGAACGTCGGAAGGCCACGGCCTTCTGAGTTCGTTGTCCCCGTTTCGCCTATTTGTATCGCAGGGATTTTAACAAAACAATTTCAACTATATGATCGGCCTGCTCCGGTCATTAACCTCCTACATATTTCTAATGTGAGCTAACTAAAAATAATAAACATCTTGTACAGTAGGTATGTTAATAGCAATTAAATGAATTAAAACGATAAAAGTAAAATACATATAAAAGACTAGTAGGTACAGAAAATATTGAAAATCTTCTTTGTTATTAATACTTCATTTGAACGATCTATTATGCTTTCTGTTACAGTTGACAATACCAAAGAGCTTAAAATAGCATGCCAAATCAAAGATGGATCACAACGATCATCTTTATTCTGTGTTTCCTCATTGGAACTTTGAAGACTGCTATTGGTAAGTAAATTATTTTTAGATCGTTTAAAAGTATTACTATAACACAAAGCATTATTCATATATCACTTGTTACTCTTCGCTATTTTCTTCGCTTCAATCTTTTCGTTACTATTGCCGCCATTATTTTATTACTATATCGTTGAAGCCTTTTGCTGCACTTCCACCTTGATTTAATATTTCATTTTATCCTTACGCACTTCTGCCTTAATTTAATAAACCGAATTTTAAAACTTTACGACCAAAATAAGAAATTTTGCAACCGTGGTTGAAAATTTACCGTCAGTCACTCACCTTACGCGTTAAAATCTGCCGTAGCGAAAGGGTTAATAATAGTTCTCGTGTAAGTGCTGCAGAGGCGTTGAATAAAATATTACATTCTAAGTCGGGACCGAATGCGCGGACGCTTCATTGGGGAGGTGACGTCTGCGAATTCAACGAAACAAAAGAGAGGAGATGTGCCTGAGTGGGATACCGATATATCAAGTGTCAGTTGTTCACATTCAGGAGTCAATATCGAATTACAGTAATGTCTCCGCAAGTGTCAGTCCGCAAGGAACCTAAACCAGACACTTGTAGAGTCAGGGACTACGTTTTCGAGCCTCGCGCCCGCCTTTGTAGTTTGCCGAACGTAGACAAGGACAGTGAATAAAAGATAAGGATGAAACGTGAGTCGAGGCAACCAAGCGATTTAAATACCAACTTTTTTAATTTTACGTTTTCTTATCCCCCTACATTTTTTTTTTTTTTTTACGTGGAGGTAGGCCGATATTTCACGCCAGACAGTGAACGTGTTAATAAGTAAATGTTGTTCAAATTATATCGTGTTTGATCTCATTTTCATCAGAAAAATCTCACCAACATGTTAAAAAAAATTTCAGATGAAAAAAAGTAAAATTAAAGAAATTATATTTTTCTATTATGAATTGTCGAGCTGTGTAATCTCGTAAAAGAAACCGAGTGGTGTAGCGTTACACGCTTGACTGACTGCGAGCGAGATAACATAGGCGCAGCAATGACGCAGACCTAGGCGTAGGACCATCTATACTGACACTTGTAGAATCCAAACTGGCTGACACTTGTAGAGACATTACTGTACTTTGTTTCACTTGGCACGCTCGAACTCCACACCAAAGTCCCATTTCCAAGAATTGGTGGGGATTACGTGTGCAGTACTGTAGTTCAAAGATTGTAATATCACGTTAATAACTTTTTTAAAAATTGCATTAAATTTTGAAGAATGTTTAATTTTCGAAAAATTGTTTACAATTAACCAAACAGCAAATATACGAATTGTGACATGGCGTAATGTACTATAAAAGAGAGCTTTGCTTCATAATGAAACATTATCGTTATCGAAACTGGTCGATGTAGAATTTCCTTAGATTTTCATTAAAGTATTTCTCGTATTTGGCATGAACTTACGGGATGACCTAATATTATTGCATTTACGAAGAAAAAAAAAGTATGACTGTGAATATGTAGTGCACTTTGAATCATTCATCTTTTTCATCTGTCGTTTCTTTCTAACTTCAATAAAAAAAAAAAGACACGGCTTGTTACAGTTACGTGAATCACCTTGGATTGTATTGCATACGTTTTTGTTTGACATAATTCCATAAGTAAAACTCCAAAGGTACGAGGTTCGGAAGGCATGACGGCCATGACTTCCATCTGCACCTTTCTGTGGAAATTGTTCACCTAGGAATTTCCTAAGAATGTCAGAAAAACGTAGAGACGTATCGTCATGTTTGCAATTTAAGCTATTGCAAACTTGAGGTAGCAGCTGGGGATTGTTATGCAATGGCACAGTAGATTTTGCAAGGAAATTAGACAATTATACTTGATCTTGTGCAACGGAAAGTTTTTAATTTGGTGTCTATTTCGTATTTCTATTACATTTCGTTGCATTAGGTCATCCCATGAGTTACTGTCGAAAACGAGAAATATTTTCATGAAAATATTGTACTACAATATAGTACATAGTTTTATGCTATTATTATTATTGTTTACATAATAGATGGAAGTTGTGGTACCAAAAATTAAAAGAAAATCTTGCGTCAAGCTTCCAGAAAAATGGAAGATATTTGTTTATTTGCCTCTTTTATTTATATAAACATTCATTGTTCGTAGTAAAAATAAAGTTTTTTTCAGATTTCTTTACAAATTTCCTAGGTGACTTTTTTTTTTACATTTTTTTACCATAACTTGAGGACAGTTAAACTTTTGCATAGTTAATTATTAACATTCGAATTTCTATTAATTGTGTCGTGTTTTAACGTTAGTTTCGTTAAAAAAAAAAGTGTGTCTCAGGAACCGAATTTTGACACTTCTAATTAGTCGCTAATTAGATCGTTACTCTGCTTGTCGGAATGTTGACACGAAACAAAATCGAGTTGCATTCCTTTTCGAATACTGTATTATATTATACTCTACGTGTAAGTATCAACTACAGTCCGTTCAATTTAAGAGTAACCTCGCTCTCGGACCGATTTTCGTCCGTTCTGCGCAGTTCCCACTACTACCTACCGATGTGACGCATGCGATTGGTCGTAGCGCTATTTCGGCTAGGCCCAAGAGCGACGACAACGTAAACAGTGCAGAGACTGGAGAGAATCTCCGGTGGTTTAAAAGTATGCGCACCTACTGTGTGCATCTAACGCAGCGGTTTATGACAGACGAATAGTGGCTAGTTGTATGAATTTAGCCGGACAAAATGAAAGTATCAATATTTACGGAACGATTTAAAATCATTTAAATTCTTAAAAGACATATTGTAAAGTACCTAATTCTTCCGACATTTCGCTACGAACTTTTCAAACCACCCGGTATGTACTTACCCATTCACCTTATGAATAATTTGAGGAGTGCGTTGGGTTCGTCTTCAAATAACGAGTAAAATACCTTTTGGTTTTTGTCGCTATCTCGATTAGAAATAGAGATACGTCAGTTTGAATTTTTTCTTAAATTACGAGACGAACTTTCCGGAGAACCTAATATTTTCCATGGGACTTCGAAACAAAGAAATGCAGCATCGCGGGGGTCATCGGTGACCCTGAACTTTTCAAACCATCCTTATGAATAATTTGAGGAGTGCGTTGGGTTCGTCTTCAAATAACGAGTAAAATACCTTTTGGCGAACTTTTCAAACCACCCGGTATGTACTTACCCATTCACCTTATGAATAATTTGAGGAGTGCGTTGGGTTCGTCTTCAAATAACGAGTAAAATACCTTTTGGTTTTTGTCGCTATCTCGATTAGAAATAGAGATACGTCAGTTTGAATTTTTTCTTAAATTACGAGACGAACTTTCCGGAGAACCTAATATTTTCCATGGGACTTCGAAACAAAGAAATGCAGCATCGCGGGGGTCATCGGTGACCCCCAGTAAGATAAATGTGTCACACATGATTACACACTTCAACTTGTCTGTTGTAAATAATATCTCACCATAATATGTAACGCATAATAAGAAATTCATGTTGGCCAGACGGGCAAGCCATGTAAAATTAGCGTGGCATTCAACGTGTTAATATTGAACTGAATCGGTAAATAGCTGACGCTTATTGTTAGATGCACAGTCAGGAAAAGAAATCATACGTCAAGGGGTTAAGAATTCACCAATTTCGTTATTTATATTATTCTAACTTGTACCTCTTATTGTTAACACTGATTCTGTTTTACAAAAGCAGCAAAAGTATTTTATGAATTGCGAACAACACCAGTTCAAGGCTGATGTTGCGAGCGTTCGACCTCGATCGGTTCAGAGCTCGCTGTGTGGTTCAGCCTCGAATTAACGATTCTGAACCTCGTTGAGAATGGAGAGTAAATGTTCCTGTTCGTTGTTGTTTAGTTGATACTTTATTTGTAATCTGTTGCTTAGTTGAACTGTATGTGTTGCGATCTGACCTCGGGCGAGGGTGAGCTCGCTCTTTATACAAATTTTAGACGAAGACATCCACCAATTCGGGTGCCTAAATGGTGGCGACAACCCTCTCCTTGCGCCCGCAGCGCGTTTCTTTCGGAGAAGGGGATGCCTGTGGGTTTTCCCGGGTGAGCCGCTTTCGGGGGACCGAATTTGTTTATATAAAATTGTCAGCTCCGAAAGTGGCACCGTTTTATTGCCAGAAAAACCTACCGCGGGCGCAGGGTAGACCAAGGGGGGTCTGAAGTTCGAAGCGAGGTTCGACACCTCTGTCTGGCGGCCAACGGTGGTTAATGATTTTTATGAATATAATCCGCCAGACCGAGGCGAGCTCACGTGAATTGCGTGCGACGCAACAGCAGAATTATAATAAAAGAAAATGTAAACATGATAAAAGACAACGCGTTGCTAAGAGAAAAGTGGGAGATCTCTCCATTCGGTTGGCTGACAATAAGTGTTAAGTTATATTCGCTTATTTCAGTCAATCCCTGCCTGAGTAACTAGATATTGGTAATAGACCAAAGAAAACCCACAACGATATATCTTCACCGCTCGAGATACACAATAATTACAACTTGGGAAGTCCATAAATCTTTAACCTAGACCTGGGGCCTTCGAGGAGGCCTCCGAGAAAACTCTGACAAATATCTATATTCATCCGGAAACCCTCTGCTTCGCCAAGCCTTTCGGTTGTTCCCGCATGGGGTCCCATAAAGACCCACACCTCACTTGGTAATTCCTTGCAGTGCCGGGAGCCACACCTGCACGCCTTGCTTCCAGAGAGTCACAAATCTTTCACCAAGTGGCACCCGATGTTACCGATAAACTGGTTCGTCCGAACCATTCCTGTCTATTGTTACATACCTTTCCAGGGCCCTCGGTTTTGGTCAGTCCATTCAAGGAGTTTACCTGGGATAAGGGCGGCGACAGTGACTACCGCAGGATTTAATTCACGCAAGTTTATTGACTATCGGTTTCTGTACAGAGGCGTTCTTTGATGCAAGGGTATACAACTGAGTGCCCGCGCTGGAAGTGCGTTGGTTTTTTAAGCTGCTTCCTTCTCCTGCTCTCGGGGTGGTGGAAATGGGTTAGAGGAGGAAAGATAGAGACAAGAATAGATAGTTTGGGAATTTTCCGGACAGTACAGCGAGCCTGCCCAAGTTTAGACAATTGCCCCTTTTTTGGGGCATCGAAGGATGTCGGTGACACGAATCAGACGCGTGGCACTCCGACCCACGGGCATCCTCGAGCGTCGGGCCCTCGGTGCCTCGCATAGTCTCGAGTGACGCGCCCGGTTCTTACCTGATTTATTGCACTACCCTTGAGTGACTTTTCGCTGTAACTGCCCGAAGGAATTTTGGTGAATGCAGAGTGTGTGAGCGTTGTAGGATTTCTATAGTTTCCCCGAAGAGACAAGAGAGGTTCGCTAGGCTTGGAGGTTACGGACGTAACACTATAATACAGTCCTGCTTTAACCACAAAGTCATTCGATACACGCGTCAGTTCGAATCCGGGCCTTCGCATCGCGTAACGCTTCAAATTTTTATTTAAACTTCCTCTTCGTATTAATCTGACAGAAAAAAGTGTAATGCTGATTCACGTCACTTTTCATCCTGTTTTATTTAACGGTTTCCTGCAAGCCTGATATTTTAAGACAAATTTTATCATTTTTATCTTTGTTTTAACTACGGAAATCTGCGGCAACCAGCTACAGAATTCCTTTATTTTAGCCGGCTACCAACAGAGCTGTGCTAATTGAATTAAACCGTAATTTAATTGCGTAATTGATTGCATAGTATTTCGATTACGTTGTAATTGAATTTACACGATTCAAACCTTTCAATAATTTCAATTGCTAATTACTTCGTCGTCGTTGTATTTGAAGTATAATGTAATTGAAATACTATGTAATTGTGATTCGATGTAATCAACTTACAGCTGAGAAACTCTGAAACTCTTCCTGTCTATACGGCGCGGCGCACCTTCCGTTAATGAGCCGTCAACGTGAGTTCGAAACCAGCTAAATGATGACTTAAACCTACCCTAGTTTCACGTGTACTACATTATATTTCATTTTGAACAAAATCCCTGATGTCGACGTTAAAAAGTGATCGATTTGGCGTGGAATCACTCTATCACCGTTCTGTTAATGCATCATCTGCTGACCTTCGTATTATTCTTGCTTACACTCTTAATATCTATATTTTTGTTAGTTTTACATAACAAATTGCACGCTTGCACTTGTGCACACGCAGCGATTTATTATGAGCATTGGCGCGTTTACACATACGTGACGTTTGTAGCGAACGTGTTAAGCTTAGTATCCGTTGCGCCATTATTCAGTGATACGCAACGTTGTACGGAGGTGTGACTTTTTCCAGTATCATCATTGCGTATCTGGACGGCACTGAATCAGCCACGTCCTTCGATGCGACGTTGAAGAACTGACAAATGCCATTGCGTGTCTTTGTACCAAATTTTGATAGGTTATATGCAACAAGTGGATACCGGGCTCAAGGGGGTATTCCGGTTTTGAACTTTCAAAAAATCAATTCTTTTTTTCAGTTTCTTGAAGTATAAGTATTCTAGAACATGTGTGCAAAATGAAGGATGCAGTTGTACCGTAACGAAATGGATAGACGTATCTTTAAACGCGTTTTTCTCGAAACCATGTTTTTCTAAATGGCTGACGTGATATCTCAAGTTCTAGTTGTCCGATTGACTCCAAATTTTACATGCACCTTCAGTGGATATGCCGTTATCGTCTGAACCAGAATTATGCCAAAATATATATTTTTCTGATTTTTAGAGCCTCGGAAAGACGGAAAAAAGACGAAGAAATCGATACACAAAATTCAAAGTGCCGCCATTTTATAAATTTTCACTATTTCTTTTTCATTCTGGTTCACACCATAGTCACAGTCGTACTAATCAAGAATCCTTTTGGTTTTTTCATTTCGGATAAACAGAATGGGCGGAATCGTGTGAGCCAGTAGGACACTTTTTTTTTAAAGGGATCGCACTGAATGATATATAATTCAGACAACTTTGATTATTTTCACTTGAAAAAAATTGTGAACTTTCTTAAAGCATGAATAAATATGTATGCAAAATGCCGATACTGAGAAACTTATACTTTCTTTACAAAAAAATCCCTAAGAAGGACTAAAAAATCACACTCTAAACTAGAATAATATACCCCCTTAAGGCGGTAACATCCTAACATACTTTATGTTTGCACATTATCGCTCCGCTCATTATATTTTCACAAGTAAAAAGTAGCGTTTCTTTTTTTTTTCGTTACAGGAAATCCCCTAAGAGACCGGATAAAAAGAGAAGAGGAAATGTCTATGAGCAATTGGACGCAGTTTGCTGACGAATGGATTGCTGCAAAATCAAGGGCCGCAGAAAGGTTGCACGTTACCATCTTACCATATACCGATAAATTCAGAGATCTGCCACCGACTGCAGAAACAATTCTCATTAATGGTACCAGTCCTGACGAATTGGCACGGGTAACATAATTTTCTTTATTCCAAAAACGTATTGTAAAAATTTCATTTCTATCGTAGTTTGCAACGCTCGTGTTTTTGCTATTATACCGCTTGAAATCGTAATGTAACTATAATTTAACCCTTTCGCTGTTGAGCCCGTCGAAAAAAATACGTCGTACTCTTACTTGTTTTAACACTTTACCGACCGGTAGCGGTTGAACATCCTACGCACTTCCCACCGCTCACTCGGCCGCAGATACATCGCTGACACCGGCTCTGTTTAGACTCTAGTCTATCGCGCGGGAATATATGCGCTTTTTCTTATACCTATAGAAATGTTAAATCAAACTTTGACCGATTAATAGGCTATCGGTCGATAAGCGTCGGCGGCAAATAAAGCGATTAATAGACTATCGGTCGGTAAGCGTTGGCGGCAAAAAGCCGATTAATCGGCTACCGGTCGGTAAAGTGTTAAAATATTTCTTGTTTTTAAATATTGCATACCACACATGGAGTACATATTAATCAATAATTAAACTATTTATACGAAAAATTCACATATGTCCATTCTTTCTTTTGAAGCTTTATGGTATTTTGAAAAGTTTTCGAATATAAAAAAAATACGCATTTTTATTATTGAACGTTATCTTTTTTCATTTACGTACTTTTTCGAATAAAATGTTCATCGATAGAAATATCGTTTGCAATAATATCTAAACCACTTCAACGACCTCAGATCAAGAAAGTGATAACAAAAAGAATTTTTGTCTTTCGGATGTAAAATGTATAATGGGATGAAAGTGATATTCGTAATTTTGTCTGTTTAAAATAACTCCAAAGTCAACTTACTTTTCCCCTATTTTTCATAATTAAATATTATGTTTTTATATTAATACCATCACAAATGATGTACTAGATGTTTCAACTTACTTTATCCAATTAATAATACTTTAGTATGACATTTTCGAGGATGCAGAACACGTTGGAAGCGTTTTTATTGTTCTTCTATTTCTCATTTAAGAAAAGTAGAATAATAATAAATAATAGCTAATTGTTAATTTATTTGTTTAGAAGAAAATCATTTAAAATATTTATTAAAATACAAACTTTTCACAGAAGGACAATAATTTTCATTGTAAAGAATTGCTAGCAAATTTTGAAGCTTCATAAATCATCTTGAGTATAAAAATTGTTAATTTCAATATTTATTCCATTCAACTGAACAGCTTAGCAGCATTAACGGAAATATCAAAGTATATGAAATAAGTGAAACTTCCTACTTAATATGACTTGTGGG